TAAACCCATCATCCTCCCCCACAAGCCTGGTCTTTTTCCTGTATTCCCTGATCTTAGTAAATAAATAAAGTCCCCATTCAACCATTTGCTTCAACCAGAAACTTGAAAATTATTCCTTACTCCTTCTTCTTCTTCATCCCTTAATCTCATTGCTCACCACAACCCATCAGCTGTACCTCCAAAACTCTCTCAAATCCATCTCCTTCTCTCCATTCACACTCTCACTCCTTCAACTCAACTTTCCCACTTCTTTCCTGGGTTAAGGCAATGGCCTCTCAAATTCTCTTCATGACTCCAGTCTTGACCCCCCCGCCTTTCCAATCTCCATACTGATACCAAGAGGTCATTCTAAATCACAAATCCAATTGCAGCAATCTCTTTAAATGCCACGGTTGGTTCCCAAAAGTCTGCAGAATAAAGTCCAAAGTTCCAAGTATGGTATACCTGACTCTTCAGCATGAGCAATTGCTTCTCTCTCCTGTCTCATCTCTAGACACTCCTCACATCATCTTCCATACTTTAGCCAGAATGATCTATATTTTATTTGCAGAAATCAGTTTGTTCTTTCTTTGCTCTTCAGCTTTGCACATACTGTTGCCTGTGTCTGGAATGACGTTTGCTCTGGCCTCTTCACTTCGCTAAATCTTTCAAAACTAGGATCAGGAGCCATCTTGGAAGTCTTCCTGAATTTCCCTGCTCCTCCCCCAACCTGGCCTATTTAAGTCTTCTTTAGTGTTCCTTTGGCACCCTATGCAGAGCTTTGTCATAACCATTCCATAGTTTATCATTTGTTTCACTGAAGGTTTTTGTTTGTTTGTTTTGTTTGCAAAACAAACTGTAAACTGGAATAAATTATTCTAACCTTGGTGGTTTTTCTCCACACTGAGCCGCCACCCCTTGGAATGTCAAAACTCCCCACTGTTCTCCAGCAACAGCAGAAACTGGCAGCTGGAGAGAGGCTGTCAGCCACAACTTTTACAAGGAGTGGGTAAAAAAAAAAAATAACAACAGCCTTGGGACTTGCTAGTTATTAGGAGATAGAGGTCAGGGGAGAGAAAAGAGCAAAGGGCTGGCAAAAACTAACAGGGGAAGAAAGAGCTAAAAAGCTAAAGAGATGAGGAAAATAGTGAACTGAAGAAAGGAAAGCCTTAATGAATTTATTACCAACTTTGAGAACAAAAGTTCTGAGCTATGAAGTATCTTTTTCTAGTATAATGCAAAGGGAAAAGAAAGTTAGATTAGAAGTGCAATACTGCATTTTCTGAATCTGAAATCTACGAAAAGCTTTTGTGTATGCGTGTGTGTATGTGTGTGTGTGTGTGGTATTTGCTTTTGAGAAAGAAAGGTTAGCAGCCTAAGCAGAAAACTGAATAAGGAAGGCAATTGTTCTTCTCTCCCCATCCCCATCTTCTACCAAAGCAGACAACAGAGATAACTTCAGTGAGGGCTTTGGACTATGGAAGAGATTCTTCAGAAGCACAATAGCCTAACTGATCCTTCTGATTCCTTACGAGAATAACACACATACCGTGTCATGGATTGAATTGTGTCCCCCAAAAATGTGTGTCAACTTGGCTATGCCATGATTCCCAGTACTATGGGATCATCCACCATTTTGTCATCTGATGTGATTTTCCTGTGTGTTGTAAATCCTATCTCTATGATGTTAATGAGATGGGATTATCGGCAGTTATGTTAATGGGGCAGGACTCAATCTACAAGATTAGGTTGTGTTTTAAGTCAACCTCCTTTGACATATAAAAGACAGAATCGAGCAGAGAGACACGGGGACCTTCTACCACCAAGAAAGTACTGCCAGGAGCAGAGTGTGCCCTTTGGCCCCAGGATCCCTGCTGAGAAGCTCCTAGACCAGGGGAAGATTGATAACAAGGACCTTCCCCCAGAGCCAACAGAGAGAGAAAGCCTTCCCCTAGAGTCGGTGCCCTGAATTCAGACCTCTAGCCTACTAGACTGTGGGAGATGGTGGGCCTGTAATAAATAATTACAGGAAGAATTGGGAAGTAGAAAGGAAGGGTCTCAGCAGAGTTCTTATTGATCCGCACTTCCTTGATCCTCATGACACTTGGACAAGCCTACTTCCAAAAGTTCTGGACACTTGTCAGCAATGCTGAACAGAGAGTGAGGTGCTTGGACATTTTGTGTGGGGGAGGGAAGGCAAAGCCTCACTCTGTCTCCAAGGTGAAAAGGAACTGAAACAGTTAGGAATTTCCGTTTGAACAAGGGCAGTAAATGACACACCACCCATGTTACACCTACTTGTTACAATCTTTGTTGCTCAAAGGCATTTCTGCAGTCTACAGTGTAGGGAATACAATTAAATCTCCCTGTTACTACCTAGGATTCTTCTCCAGAATCAAGGCCATTATTCTGAGCATCTTGTAACACTTAATTGTTGCTACAGAAGAAAAGTATGAAGATGAGAGTTGAAAAGATCATTGCATGTGAGTTAGAGCAGTCATTTGACAAATTTCTGATAGGAACTCATTACTAAATTTACATTTCTTTAAAAATAAAAGTATAGCTAACAAAGAATTTATTTTCTTTATTTATGAGAGTAGATAATTGAGTTTTAGCTTACATTTGCACATCTGCTAATTAGGTCTTTTAAATTATTTAAATAATTTAAATAATTATTATGGAATAAAAATGGCAGTAGGGTCAGAGAAGGACAAAAGGCAAAGAATGTCCATTTGACTTGATTTGTACTCAATATTTCTTCAATGCTAGCATTTTTTTTTAACGTAGGGCTTTTGAGATTTTAATAAAAAGTAAAAACAAGATCCTAATGTGAGAGAAACATTTTTATTACATAAACAATGATAAATTACCTAAAGCCCTCAAATGAATTTTCAAGTATAAATAACATGTAGAAAGTAATACATGCAACTTAGATATGTTTATTAGCATTAAATAAACAATTCAGATACTTTGATACTCATTCTAGGTTGAGAATCGGCAAGGGTCTGACAACAGAGAAAACGCAACCAAAAAATCTATTTAAGCAAAATATTTTGAAAGAAATGTTAGTAATTTAGTAACCGCCCCAACCCTCCCCCCGCCAAAAAAAAAAAAAAAACAACAGTTGCTGTCCAGTCAATTCGAACTCACTATAGCGACCCTACAGGACAGAGTAGAACTGCGCCATAGGGTTTTCAAGGCTGTCAATCTTCAAGGAAATGGACTGCACATACTTCTGCGGAGTGGCTGCGGAGTTCCCAACTGCCGACCTTTCACTTAGCAGCCCAGGGCTCTTTAATAGTAACAAAAGCTACCATTTATCAAGTAGTTACTGTGTTATGGACTCCGTGCCTAGTTCTATGTACTTTGCGTTATTTAAGAAAAGAAAATGGAAACTCAAAGTGATTAAATAACTTGCTGAAAGCCACATAGCTAGTTAGTAGTGGCCGTTCCTGGATTTTATTCCAAAGGCTAGACGTTTATATCGCCCACAAGACTACGTGCCCGCAAGGACAGGGAGTGGTCTATTTTGTTTTCCATTGACACATAGAATGTGCTCAACAAATATTAGTGAACTAGTGCATCATTTCATTGCAATAACGGTTTTAATGGTTTCTAAGCCATTTTGAGTCGGAATTGACTCGACAGCAACGGGGTTTTTTTTAAGCCATTTTCTAAAAATTGTGTGTATACATTCCTAATTTCATTAATAAAAGCCAACAGGAGAAACATGCACATTTTAAAACTCACACATCATTACAATATTTTTAAAATAAAATTAATTTTTAAATGTTTTAAATTGCCAATTTATATTCATTAGGTAAATTCATTTTCAAAGGGTACCAAGTTTCCTTTCCCATCTGAGCTCCAGTTTTCAAACTCACTTGATTATGTGACTAGAGAATTATTTTGAATTAGTAATTTTTTCTCCCTGGTTTTCCTTTCCACTCCCTTCCAGGGCTTGGTTCTGCGACGTTGCCTCAAGAGAAGTAGAGGTGCCAGCAAATCGTTCGGATTTTTCACTCTTTAAAAGCCCATATAGCCACTTGAAGATAAGAGGCCATGAGAACAGAGACATTAAACTACCATCTTTTGAGAGTTAGCTGACTCACTGCAGGTCCTCCTCAGGCCTTTTCACTTCTAGGCTCCTGATCCCTGACAAAGAGAGAAAGAGAATCCAGGAAGGGATTATTTTTCCACTAACCTGGTGTAGGATAGGCTCATATTCAGAGATTAAGTTCATTTATAGTAAATAAAAAGAATAATACTGCTTCACACAGTGGTCTGTAGTCTGAGATTTATGCTTACTACATTTATTTTGTAAATATTCCTTTTGCATAAATTTTGCATTATTTTGTACATATTCCCATATTACAGACTCTTAATACAGTCTGATACACACCTTTCATTTTAACCCATTGGAAGAAAATCATCAACTTTTCTATGTAAACTCGCTTAAAAATAAAATTCAGAAAATTGGAAGAGGGCCAAGAAATTAAGTAGCCCAACTCCATTCTTTGATAAATTATACAAAGAGCAAAAATAAAGGATCAACTGATTTCCAAAGTTCACTGACAGAAATCTCCAGAATTTAATAAATCACACCATAGAAAATTCTACACCTCTACCTCTGCAATGAGAAATGAAGACTTTTTTTTTTTTGTAACTAATCACTGTATTTTCAGGAAGACGGAGTAGAACCACTATACAAGTATTAAACTGTACGAAACAAAAACTCCCAGTACATTCTGGAATGACATCCTGGCCAATCCGGTTTGCCGCTGAGACCTGACCCTGGCTAGGGTTGGGGCGTGCACAAGTATCTGATTAGCCCTCTTCTTGAATGGAGACATTTTCTCTCCAATGAGAGACGCTTAGGGGGAAGAGGGCGTGGTCTTAAGGGATCGGAGAATTGACGCCCCGGATAATGTAAGGTGCGTGCTGATTGGCTGGACTTCTTACCTCGCGGGAACGCCCCGCCCTTCAACATACTGCTCAGGAGAGCAGGCGCGGCCTCGCCTGCTCCGAGCTGGTCCTGACTGAGGGCAGGTCTGTCTCGGCGGCGCTGCGGCGACCTCCGTCCCGGACAGCTTCCCCTCCCCGGGCTGCTCCCCTCCTGCCCGCGAGTCCTCTCGCCTCGTAGGCCTCTCGGATCTAATATCGTGGGGTGAGGTGCGAGCAGGCCCGGGGAGGGTAGTTACCATAATTACCGCTGAGGAGCCGCAGTCACGATCAAGGTGAGGTGAGAGTGCGAGTAGGGACCAGGGTTGGGGGCACGGGGTGAGGGGGAAGGCCTGGCCTGCGCCGTTTTCCTGCATTCACTCTGTTGCTGTTGTGAGCACATGCCCAGGCTAGTCCGAGTCTGGAGGGGCGGGGCCGGATCCGTCCTCCCTGAGGTAGTGTGAGTGCCCGCCCCGTCCCAGGGACCTGCCGGGAGTGAAAGAGTTATGCCCATAAAGTTACTGGTTCCTCATCTGTCCCCATTTTCGTCGCCTAACCCTAAAGATCCCCCTGCCTTCCTGTCTCTCAGTTGGTGAGGGATGGGACGTTCCCGTACCCAGCACTTAGCTTGTCCCTGGCACACTTGATGTAGAATGCACTGTCTTAAATGAAATTCCCAGGTTCATCTTGCAGACTAGGTTACCCCCCGACTACGTGCTCCCATAGCACCTTTTAAGCTTCCTTTCCTAGTACAATAAAAGTTCACGATTGCTGAGCTTTCACTGTGAGCCAAGCAGTGTGCTAAACTCTGTGAACTATCTTGTCTAATCTTCCCAGACATTCAAAAAGGTAGTGTTAGCCTTATTTCACAGATGTAAAATTAAGCCCATTTTTATCGTCCAGTGTTTATTAAGCACCTACTGTATGTGCTGAGCTCTTTGCCTATGTGATTTTTGTGTAATGCACACAAATCTGTGAGGAACTAAGGCTCAGAAAAGTAATGTGAACAGTTCACATTGCTACTATTTGGCAGAAGACATACTAGCATCTGATTTCAGAGTTCTTAGTATCTTGTCATATAGCAGTGTCTTAATAGTTATCTATTGACAGTGAATAACTTGAACAAATATTTTGAAGATATGATTCCTGCCCTCTAGGAATTTGCAGTTTATGGTGAGTCACAAGACTGGTAGAGAGGAAAAAAATAATAGATGGCACTAGGTTCACTAGCAGCATGAGGGGGAGGAGAGACTTATATAGTACTTCTTGGCACAATACAAAGATGGCCAAGGAAAGCAGGAAGGGTTATTCTTACACTCCTTTCTGGGTTTTGTTCTATATATAGATGATAGAGGTACTGACAACAGACGCTCAGAAACTGCTACACCAGCTGAATGCCCTGTTGGAACAGGAGTCTAGATGTCAGCCAAAAGTCTGCGGCTTGAGACTAATTGAGTCTGCTCATGATAATGGCCTCAGAATGAGTGCAAGGCTAAGGGACTTCGAAGTGAAAGATCTCCTTAGTCTAACTCAGTTCTTTGGCTTTGACACGGAAACATTTTCTCTAGCTGTGAATTTACTGGACAGGTTTCTGTGCAAAATGAAGGTATGTTTAAGGCTACATTACCCTGAATATTTAATTTTGCTCAAAGTGTCTTTACTTTGTGTTAGCTTTTGGCTGTTATTCACAAACTTGATCTTCTTCCTTTTCAGCAGGTAGCTGAAACACTGTTGATAATTCTGTGTGCTACAGCATTGATGAATATTTTCTCTTATCATAAATCAAGGGTAATGCATCATTTGTTAGACAAATTTTGAGATGGAAAATAGTCTAATATAAAATAATTACAGAGTTTCCCAGTAGAATTGGTTGTTGTTTTTGAAAAATTTGTTGATAGTTTGGGTGTTTTCATTTATTTGTTGTACTTAAATTTAAAGAAATTCGTTAGAGACAGAATACTAGATTGTGGTTAAGGGTTTGGGTGTATTTCTTAATCACTATCTATATATAAAGTTCTAAGTGTTTTAATCTTAGACCTACTCAAGTCCTGCTTATGCTTAACATTTCCACCATCAGTTTGCAAGCAGTAGACAAGATAGTATCTTCTGAAGAAGGAGCATTTCTATAATTATTTCCCTTTACTGGATAAGCAGGATATCTGTGTACCTTTCAGAGCTTGTTTATTAAAAATGCATCTGCCTTCTCTATGCCCCCATGGTCATTGATGGATAATGAGATAGTGTGACAATTAGAATGACACTTGTCTTTTAGTTCTCAGTACCTAACACAGCGCATCATAGAAAGAACTCATTATTTATTGAATTGAATAGTTCCATATTGGCATTTTGTTCAACAGACTGATTTAACAATTCTTTAGACACTTACCACATGCAGGCATTGTACTTGGATCTATAAATGTTGCACAGATGAAAATATACAGCTGCCCCTCAAGTATATTCTAGTCCTATATGGAAATAAGCAGTCCTGGTGGCGCAGTGGTTAAGTGCTCAGCTGCTAACTGAAAGTCAGTCGTTTGAACCCACCAGCCGCTCTGTGAGAGAAAGATGTGGCAGTATGCCCATAAAGATTACAGCCTGGAAACCTTATGGGGCAGTTCAACCCCTATAGGGTTGCTATGAGTCAGAATCGACTCAACGGCAATGGGTTTTACGGGTTATATGGGAATAAGATGGTTACACTGATAACTATCGTAACAGTACAAGGCACAGTAAGTAATATACTCTAAAGAGGTATAAATATATTGTTGAAGGGGTTCCATGAAGAAGAGATAAAACAGATACTGGTAAAAGATTCTTAAAGTTTTATTTGAGCTGGAATTAAAGACTGGATAAAATTTTGACTGTGCCTAACATATTGTAGACATTCAGAAAATAATGAATAAATTAAAAAGATTGGTAGTGGATAGGGCTTTATAGGCCAAGTAAATAACGTGTGTTATTATACTTAAAAACTGTTTTACTTGTGTTAATATAAAGAAAACAGCCTGGAAAAGACATAACATCCTGGGAATTTTATTAGTACACCATTTATGTAACATGTTTCAGTTCCTCCCATAAATCTTTTGACCAGTTAACTTTCTTGGTTGAATTACAGCACAGTGTTTACAGTTATACAGTGTTAAGAAACAGTAAGAATTGTTCTATGCAGAGGACAAACATTGAAACTCAGTCCAGTTACTCAAAAATCAGTTCCAAATGGGGTGCATAGGATTGATGGGCTACCCACAGGGGCTAGGGATGAGCTGACCAGAACCCAACCAAATGAAGAGGTGTAAGTAGATCTTAATTCCATCACATTTGAGAAAATACATTTCAAAGATACATTTTCCTAATGATGGATCTGAATTCTAGATTATCCTTTATTTTTTTAAATTGAAGACATGGGATGATGATAATTATTATTATTTTTAGGTACAGCCCAAGCACCTTGGGTGTGTTGGACTGAGCTGCTTCTATTTGGCCGTAAAATCAGTAGAAGAAGAGAGGAACGTCCCATTGGCAAATGACTTGATCCGAATAAGCCAGTATAGGTTTACTGTTTCAGACTTGATGAGAATGGAAAAGATAGTATTGGAGAAGGTGTGTTGGAAAGTCAAAGCTACTACGGCCTTTCAGTTTCTGCAACTCTATTATTCACTCATTCAAGAGAACTTGCCATTTGAAAGGTATGTGATCTTTGTTTTGAGCAAAGGAGGTTTGGATATCAGAATGGTATTTCTGGATGTTACACAAAATCAATCTCCTGATAGAATTCCAATCAAAATGACAGCTGCGGCTCTGCAGTGCGGTAGAGTGGAAGTAGGGGAGGTATAATAATGAAGAGATGGGCTGAGTTTGGACATATTCCATTGGTACCCGTTGACTTAGCCCACAGAGGCTAGGGATGAGAGAGAGAGAGAAGGGGTTGGCAGGTCAGAAGTGCCGGGAGGTGTAGGGACTCCCAGGCCTACGGGTCATGCCCGTTGACCTAGCCTATAGAGGCTAGGGATGAGAGGGAAAAGGGGCTCTCTGTTCTAAAGTACAGGGAGTTGTGTGAACTCCTGAGTGTACAGGTAATGCCTGTTGACCTGGCCCACAGGGGCTAGGGATGAGCTGACCAGAACCCAACCAAATGAAGAGAAAGATGTTTGACACCATGAGGTGGTGTAGATGGCTGCAATTTGATGGTTTGCTGTGGACTGGACGTTGCTGATGGATGCACATGCTCAAAGTTCTAACCGGAACAGAAGATTCTTCAGATCAAGGAACATGCTTGTCTCCTCAGAGTACTGGTTTGGTAGGGACGGACAATGTAAACATTGGCTATCTAAAACGGGAGGGGATAAAGGTATGAAGTGGCTGGCCTACGTGATTTAATGGGTTTGCTTACACTCAAAATGAGGGGGACAAGGGAGGATCCCCACTGAATAGATTCCTCTCTTCCTGATGAGTCTCAGGAAGAGAGGGTGGGGGAAGATGCTGATAGGATTATATGATTCAGTTGTGAGTGCTGATTGTTAACAGGGTTAATCGTAATTGTAAAAACCAATTGTAGAGGCAGTAACTGAAAGAGTGGATTAAGGGGAGAGTGTACTGCTAGACTGGAGCACAGTGGCCGAACCTAAAGTCCCTTAAAGGCTTTGCTATGCTGATACCTTTTGAGGTTCATAGCAAAGAATAATCTTCTCTCAGTTAAATTTTATAAGACACCAGAAAGTGTGAAGCCAAGATGACTTTTGGAGAACCTGACCAGATCAGTTGGATACACGCAGCAGACCTGAATGGCTAGAACTTGAGTAACCTCGCCCTGAGGACTCTTTGCCCTACTGAAGGACTAATTGTTAACAACTGTTTCGGACTGGTAAAATGATTGGGAGGGGAAAATTATCTCCAAGTATGAAAGAACCATAGCTAGAAAAGCCAGGGGTGGCCTGTGGTGCGATAGATTCCTTTTATATGGCCTTTCTAGCCATGGTTTTCAACCTCCCACCAAATGATTGGGTGGGGCTATGCAAATAAGGTGCTTGTGGCCCACCAAGGGGATTGGACAGTTTGCTGATAATACAAATAAGGTGCATGTCACCCTTGTGGGGGTGGAACCATGCAGATAATGTATATGGAACCTAAACAACAGGATTGGTTAGTTTTGCCATCTGCTAAACTCAAGAGAGAGCCAATCCCAGAGCAGAGAGGGGGACTTCACTACCACGAAGAGGAAGAGACAAGAGTGGAATATGTCCTTTGGACCCAGACTCCCTGTAATGAGAACCTCCTAAACCCAGAAGAGAGTTTTAACACTGGAGATGGCGCAAGACGGCAAGAAAAACGGTGGCAGCAGAACCAGGAGACCAGCATGAGATGGTGTGGCGGGCTTCCCAGCCCACAGAGCAAAGGGGTTACAGTGGGTGTGGCAATCCATGGAGCAAGAGCTGAGCACCTTTGGGCCAAGGCTTACTGGCAGAGTGGGATGCCCCTGGGCACTTACAGGTGGAGATGAAGAGCTTTTTAACACTTGTCAGAGCAGGGCAGAAGCCAGGCTGAGGGGCCAAGGGCCAGAGAGAGGCCTGCCTATGGGTATAGCTGAGAAGAGGCTATCCTGATCAAAGAATTGTATCCTGAGTTGTTTCTGATCCTGAATTGTAACCTGTTATAATAAACCCCATAATCATGAGTATTATCTGAGAGTTCTGTGTGGCCATTGCAATGAATTATCAAACCCAGCAGGGAGGTAGAGAGTGCCATAGGAGGGACAGCTGGTGCTAAAAATGTTAGAGAGAGGAGGTATATCTGACTTCCGCTTCATAGGAATCAATCTTGGTCTGCTGCTACTAATAATGGTTCTCCTTCCCCTTGTGAAATTAGACAAGGAAGTCAGATGCTGCTGCCGTGCCATTTTTACAGGCACCTTGAACTTCACTGTCCTTCAGAAGTGGTTTAGATTTTACAATTTTTAATGTTGTTGTTAAAGGACATTTCAACTTTTTCTTCATAAAATTTTCCATTTCTAAACTATGTAACTTATGGAACCTATTAGGTCAGCATCTAACACAAATTTATGGAGAAGGGAACTTTAGTAGATACAGGAGATGATTTATTAAAATTAAAAGAACATTGATATCTGTGGCATAACACTTTTTTTTTTTTGCACTAATCATTTAAAACTCATGTATGTTGTCCTTAGAAGTTAATGTGTCTGAGGGAAAGAGAAAAATTCCTTTACTTCAGAAATAATTTTTTTTTCTCTGATAAGTGCATAATCTTCACTTTAAAAAATAACTTGTGTTTTTCATAAATTTGTCTTTTGACTAGATGTAAAATTACCTGCATTAAATTGGCCTAATTTTCTTTTTAAAGGAGAAGCAGCCTTAATTTTGAAAGACTAGAAGCTCAACTTAAGGCATGCCACTGCAGGATCATATTTTCTAAAGCAAAGGTAAATATTTTATAAAGATTAAACCTATTTATTCATACCTGTTTTTATATCTGACATTTACTTAAAAACTGATCTCTTTTAGCCTTCTGTGTTGGCATTATCTATCATTGCATTGGAAATCCAAGCACAGAAGTGTGAACAATTAACAGACGGAGTAGAATGTCTTCAGAAACATTCCAAGGTATGTCAAGGTCATAGCCTAAATCCTTTTAACACCTGTAAAACTAAACCACTTGCACTGTCTCCTGAAGTAAAATGAGAAGTCACATGTTTAGTTGACACTTAAATAGCTTATTCTCAATTTTTTTTTTTTTTTTTTTTGGACAAGGAAAGACAGTTAATAGGATTGCATTTATTACTATCCTTTAATACTGTAGAACTTTTATTTTGAATAATTTTTAAACATCTATGTACAGATAAATGGCAGAGATTTGACCTTCTGGCAAGAGCTCGTATCCAAGTGTTTAACTGAATATTCATCAAACAAGTGTTCCAAACCAAATGTCCAGAAGTTGAAATGGATTGTTTCTTGGCGAACTGCAAGGCAACTGAAGCACAGTTTCTACAGGATAACCCACCTTCCAACAATTCCTGAAACGGTTCCTTAATCGGTAAAATTGGTTCATAGTTATTATCCATATAGAGAAAATTTTGTAATGCTGTTATTTCTCTCTACAATTAGAGAATTGAAGTCTGAATTATTATTTTTAAAGTAAAATGGAGTTGGGGTGGCAAAGGGAAAAGGACTTCACTGATCTAGTCAGCTAATATTTGAAGACATTTACTACATACAAGGTACAACACCCTAAGAATAAGAAATTATCCAACCTCTGATGTGTATATTAACCATTTCATTAAGTTTTAATCAGGTTGGAACTAACAGCATACTCTTTAATAACCTGGAATGTTAAAAGTAGCACAAGAACAGTATTTTTTTTCTTTTTTTAAATTACATATCATTTTGCCTTATGTAGACCCAAGCTCTGGCTCAGAGTATGTCATTTAAAGTAACACAAGCCTGAGTTGGGCAACAAGACCAAAAGCTTGAACCATACTAATCTGAGACTGTTAGCTAATTAACTAAATCAGTATGAACCTGAATACCATTCTTAAGGAAGTAACATAAGGCAAGTGGTCTTCCCATTAGGTATTTGGAAATTGTCAGGGCGTTTCAACACTAAAGTTGTGTATTGTTATAGCAAAGCAGTTGGACTGCTGCAAAGTATGTAGTTATATGCATAAAGAATGTAAACCTGGCCACTGCATTTTTGATATCCATTCTGGCCATCTAAATTACTTAACTCACAGTGGTGATTTATCTTTTTCTCCTCAGAACTAAATGTTAACATTTAAGTCGTCTACATATGACATGATTTTGAATCTTAGGAACAGTTCATTTTAACAGTGAATTTATGTTTTGAAGACTTCTGATAATTTGGTTTTTTGTTTGTTTAAATAGGATTATTACGGCAACAAAAAACTCTTTGAAGCCTTTTTCTTCAGCCCTAAGCCATGGAGTCCATAGAATTGTAATGGATTTTAGCTGTGAAGCCTCAAAACATCACAACTAGATTAGCATTGATGTTCTCAGACTTGGGAAAATTGTCTACCTAACATTATGCTATAGTGGAATTATATTTAGATTTGAATTCATCTGTGAAGCATACAAATCAAAGCTAAGAACATAAATGTGAAAGTTTAATGATAAGCCTGAGAAGGTAAACTGTGAATCTTCATTTCTAACATTGATCTAAATTTTTTTATTGGATCAGTGTATTTAGGTGGTGTTGAAGTGGTAACCTACTTAATTTAAACTAAATCATCTTAAATGTGCTTATTAAATCGTTGAGGCATACATCAAAACCATCATTTCACAAATGCACTTTTAAGACATAACAAGGATTACTATTCTAGGCAGTATAAACGGTTTCTTGGTACCCATAATGCAAATAATACATAATCCAGATATGTGGACTTCGTTTGCTATCTGGCAATTACATTTACATTTGAGGGCATTTTATATAAAGCAAAAATACAGACCTGGCAAGTATGACAAACTCATAAAGTTATCTTTAATATTTTTTTTCTAGAAAACAGGAAATATTTGTACCCATGATAAAAATTTTTATATAGAATCTACTGCCTCAGTCTAGTCTGTTTTTATAAAACTGCCATTGCCTCTAATTTAGAATTTTGCTTAAAAGGAACAGAGTATACTTTCATTAAATGCCCTACTGTGCCAAAATAAAGTCTTAAGAAAATTTAAGTGGGCACCTTAATAAATTATAAGGTAGCTGAGGTAGTATTTCAGATTTTCCATGTAAGTCAGTGAATGTAAGTTTTACAACTTTAAAGCTTCGTAAATGGTTACTCAGTGCACTGTGTAGCCTGAGACCATCCAGAATGATTTTAACCAATTCAGATTTACTTTTAACGTCATGTTATGGGTATTTATGGATAAATACGCACTGAAAAATAAGCCAAAGAACCATAGCGTATCTTATATTTGACTTCTGTGAACTATGTTTTGTGGATAACATTTCAGTTTTCCCAAACAGCTGATAACATTTCAATATTTTAAATACATCAGTGTTAATTTTGAGTTGGCAGAGGTAACCTAACAAACTACCATTATGTTTTGGTAGTAAGGAATATATATATACCTTTCAATAAAGTTATTGAAATGCATTGCTTTGCTGGGTGGTTTTGTTTTCTTATTTAGTTATATTGGTAATTTGATAACAGAACTGTAATAAAAAGCTATCTCTATTCAGTAATACTTAAATTCAGCACTAAAGTAAGATGCATGGTGGCAGAAACAATAAAATCTGTGTAGTATGGCTATTACCTAATTATCACCTTTCTAATTGTTATTTAAAATAGAGACAACCAGCTGCCGCTGAGTCGATTCATACTCATAGTAACCCCATGTATTGCAGAGTAGAAATGAGTCATAAAACAAACCTTAACAAATTCAAAACAAGTTAACAATTGATTTTTGACACAGTGCAAAGACAATTAAGTGGAGAAAGCACAGTATTTTCAACAAATGATTTTGAAATACTTTGGCACCCATATGCAAAAAAAAAAAATCCACCTAAACCTCACACCTCACACAAAAATTAACATGGATCACAGACCTAAATATAAAACATAAAACAATAAATCTTTTAGAAGAAAACAGGCAAAAATCTTCATGACCTGGGGTTAAGCAGAGTTCTCAGACATGACATCAAAAGCATGATCACCCAGAAACATGATAAACTGTACCTCATCAAAATTTACAAAAACAAAACAAAAAACTTTTTTGCTTTGCAACAAGTTATAGGCTAGGAGAAAAGTCTTTGCAGATCATAAATCCAATCAAGGGATCTGCATCCAGATTATCCAATGAACTCTTAAAACTCAACAGTAAGAAAACAACTTGATTTTTAAAACGGGTAATAAAACTTGGAAAACTTCATGAAAAAAAGATCTACGGATGGCAAACGAGCACAGGAAATGATGTTCAACATCATTTATCATTAGAGAAATTCAAATTAAAAGCATGATGAAATACCATTCCGCACACTATTGTTTTTGTTAGTTGCCGTCAAGTCAGTTCTGACTAATGGCAACCTCATGGGTACACAGTAGAGCTGCTCCATAGGGTTTTAAAAGGCTGTGACAGTTCGGAAGCAGATCACCAGGCCTGTCTTCTGAGGCATCTCTGGGTAGGTTCAAGCTGCCAACCTTTCAGCAAGTAGTCAAGTGCTTAACACTTTGCACTACCCAGGGATTCCTAAACACTTTGCACTACTCAGTAGCTAAAATAAAAAACACCGACAAGGATGTGGAGCAACTGGAACTCTCATCCATTGCTGATGAGAATACAAAAATACGGTCACTCTGGAAAACAGTTTGGCAGTTTCTTACGAGGTTAAACATACACTTACCATATGGCCCAGCAATCCCGCCTAAGTATTTAGAGAAATAAAAACTTAAGTTCTCACAAAAGCTTTTATGTAAATGTTTATAGCAGTTCTATTCATATTTGCCAAAAAGTAAAAACAATTCAAATGTTCTTCAACAGATGAGTGGATAAACTGTGGTATATCCGTACACTGGAATACTACTCAGCAATACAAGTAAATGCACTACTGAATCATGCAACAAGTTGAATGAGTCTCAAAGGCCTTATGCTGAAAGGGCCAGTTTTAAAAGATTACATATGATTCCATTTATATAACATTCTTGAAAAGACAAAACTACAGATATGAAGAATAGATTAGTGATTTCCAGGGGTTAGGGGCAAGAGTAAGGTATGACAAATTTTAGTGGTGATGCAACAGTTCAATATCCTGATGTGGGTAGTGGTTACATCTATAGATGTTTTGAAATTGAGAGAACTACGCTCCAAAAAAAGTTCATTTTACTGTATATTTTACAAATAAACTTCAAAAATGTCAAAGAGGGACAACACTAGGGGCCCTATTGTGTGGCATAAAGAAAATACAAACCATAACTAACAATGCACAAACACCAGAAGATAAACTAGACATCTGGGTGCTCCTAAAAACTAATCACTTATGCTCATCAAAAGACTTAACCGAAAGAGTAGGCAGAGAACCTACACACTGGGAAAAAAAATTTTGGATACGACGGATCTAATCTTTAAAATCTATAGATTACTTCAACACCTCACTAACAAAAAGGCAAAAAATAATCCCATTTGCAAATGAGCAAGAATATGGACACTTCACCAAAGAAGACATTTAGGCAGCTAACAGACACATGAAGAAATGCTCACGATCATTAGCCATTAGAGAAATGCAAATCAAAACCACAATGAGATACCATCTCCCCCTGATATAACTGGCACTAATCAAAAAAACAGAAAATAACAAATGTTGGAGAGGTTG